TATTTGAGGCAATTGCTGTGGCACATTACCAGATGCTCAGTTTTATTGAGCGGGGGAGCGTATAAAGGTCTACAAAGGAACTCTTTTATCCTGTGCCAACTTTTCCCGCCTCCCGCCTTTTGGTTTTAAAAGCTGCAGATCTGTTCCCGACTCTCAGAGGTACATCGCAGGCTCCGCCTCAGGCAAAGCTGGGTGCCCTGTTCAGCCATCGCTGCTGCCCGGCCGGTTGGCTCCAGGACAGACAGACTGACACCCCACAAAGGACACAGTTCGCGAGGGCTGGCAAAAGGTAAAATATTATTGGAACTGAAAATAATTTACACGTTACTCTAAAGAAACGTCAATTAACAATATTAAAACACAGCAATGTACAGTTTTCTTAGGAAATATAATGATGTGAGACATTCTTGATGGAAAGCCCAGAGACTGTAACGGAGCCCTACATACATCAGCAGAACAGGTACCTACTGGCCAACACCCCTCTTGTAGGCACATCCTGGCAAGGCAATTCCGACTTCATCACCTCTGGGTGTCTGCATACAGTTTTTATGCTGAACCACGAAGTTTTTCACGGAATTGGTAAAGAGCCGTAATTTGCGTAGCGTATATTTGTGGACCTTCCAGCCCGTATGTGAGTCTGCCGTCCACCCTCCCTCACACACAGAGCGAGACCCCCAGTTTGCTTGCCTACAGCGAGCCTGCGCTCCCAGTGCTCCCAGTCACAGCCCAGTTCCCAGCCCTGGCCTGCCAAATGGCCACCCCTGGTTTGGAAGGGGAGAGACGGAGGGAGGTCGGTCTCTGAAGTCCATCAGTCCCTGACGGCCTCTTCCGAATGTGCCCAACGGGCCGTCGTCACCCTGCCTGGGGAGCTGCCCTGAAGTCAACCAGCTTAACTTGCTGGGGCCAGCCGACACGGCTGTCACGATATTAGACTCAAACTGGTGTCTCCACCGGCACAAGCTCCATAAAATGATTTTGACTGCCAAAATCTGACTTCCAATTTAATATCTCCTACGCAGAAAATGGAAATACATCAAAAAAGAAACATGGTAGAAAGTGCAAAAAAGAAAAATTCCTCTGGAACCTTTTGTACTTATTGAGGGGCTGGTTCAGTCCTTAGCGAAATGACGGGTGGTATACGTTCTAAGGAAGGGGTGACTCCTCAGCTAGCTAGTGCTTAAGAATAAGCTCGCTTGCGTAATTTCTTTCGTGACCACAGACTGCAGTACCAGGGGTGTTTTACGGTGACCATTAGTAATCCTTACAGAACAAAACAAGCCACTGAAAGAAGAACACCTGCCAAAAGGGAGTGAGTTTTGCTGTCCTGCTTCCAAGCCGCGTTCCCGCTGTGGGTTTTGAGGTGTTTCCCCCTCCAGCGGCGCGGGGGGTTTGGAGGGTTTTCCCCCTCCAGCGGCGGGCACAGCCGCCCGCCGTGCTGCGAGGAACGCGCCTGGGTCGCAGAGGGGGGGACCGGCAGAGCCGCGATGTTTCTGCAACAGCAGAGTAAGCGGCTGAGACGCTGTGGGTATAAATTTGAGAATGGCTTGAACAAATTACGCATAAATAAAAAGAAGGAATCAATACAGTGTTTCTATATGCACAAACAGCCGTCTACTTTAAAACAGCATGCATCGGTTGGCACGTGTCCAATCAGTGTTGGTTCCCATTATTTTATTAGGCTATGAAAGATTTTCTGTACTGTTAAAGAATTCTCTTAATTTTTGCTGACTGTTCTGGTGAAAAATTCACCCAGCACCCCTCCCTCTGGAGCCCGCATGTGGGCAGTCCATCCCCGGAGGTTTTTGAAAGCCTGACGGGACCAGGTCCTGAGCAGCCCAGTCAGACGTTGAGGTTAGCTTGCTTTGGGCAGAAGGTTGGACCGGATGGTCCCCAGCAGGCCTTTCCAACTCGATTTTCCCCCGTGATTCTGCAGTTACGACACAATGCTGCCTGGCCATCAGGTGAAGGGTTTAGCTTTCTGCCACAATGGGCTGAACACTGGATATGTCTGTCTTTGCAGAGTTCCTCTGGGAGGATGCCCTGGCCTTCTGGCAGGCATTGCCTCTTTTATAATGGCAGTTCTCAACCCAGGCGTGCCTGAAAGTGGGGGAGATGTCCTGCAGAGCGTGACCCTGGGCTGCACTCCTTCGCCGGCACACGCACAGCAAGGACTTCAACTCAGATCTGAAGCTCTCGTTCAGCCAACAGTAAATGAAGGGGTTGTAGCAAGTGCTGCTCATGGCAAACCAGTGAAAAGCAAAGTACAGAGCGTTGCTACTGTGGATGGCCCTACAGGAGATCAATACCACGTAGCAGTTCAGGGGGAACCAGCATACTGCAAACACAATCACCACCACCATCAGCATCTTCAACGTCATCTTCTTTTTCCGTTGATGGGCATAGTATTGCTCCATGGTGAGGTCCCCGATGGCATTTCTCAGCCAGAGCTTCTTGGCCACCATGGTATACGTGATGGAGATCACAAGCAAGGGCAGGACATACAAGAGAACAAAAGTAGTCAAGTCCAAATACTTCCAGAAAAGATCAGCAGGAGGAGGGAAGCTGGGGAGACAAACCGTTCGTATCGTTCTGTTTCTGAAGATCAAAGAGAGAAAGAACTGTCAATTCCACAACCAGATGCACACAATACCTGGAGGACAAACATCCCACATTCTTAGTTTCAGTAAAGGTACAGATAGTGGAACTCATTCAGTAACACGGGCAAGTGCCACTTTCAGTGGAAAAGCTTGCTTTAAGTTTGACCAGTGAAGGTACGTTAACACGTTCCCAGGAAAAGAAAAAAATAATCCATATTGACATCTGTGCCCTCTAATGGTGAGCACCACCTCTCTTCTGTGCCTGTCTGAAACTGCCTCAGAGATTCAGCCCTGCGAAGTCAGCTAACAAAAAGTCTGAAAGCAACGCCGTTGATTTTCATCGTCCTTTCATGAGAAACACACCGCCTGGTCAAAGAGAAGGAAGACTTCTCTGTTTCACCATACTTTCTTTGTTAATAACACAGATTGAGAGATGTGTGCCTTACGATCTGTGGGGCTTTGATTAAGCTGCATATGTCATATTAAAAAAAAAAAAAAGAAAGAAAAAAGCAGAGTGTAGATGTCTTACCCAATATAAAATCTTGTCAAAGTCTGATAAATGGCATGCGGCAGTGAGAAGCAGCTGGCCATAACCCAGATGATAACGATGCAAATCCCTCCTTTCACCATGGACATGCGCGGCTTGAGGGGGTGCATGATAACCTGCGGAGAACAACCAGTCCTGAGGATTTACAATGCCTTCAACTGATAAAAACACGCTGCAAGCTTTAGAAAGAAAGAATGCATCTTTGCTTTATCCGTGTCCAGGAGCAAGCATTTCACGCTGATCACTGAGTAAGAAGAAACAGCGTGCGTGCTTTCCGGGACAGCAAGGAACGCTCAGCACGGACATTAAGCGTGGCACAATACAGACGGCAGCCACGGGGCTCACCGCGTCCGGTGTTGGTGGACTTGCAAGACGGAGTGGCAAGGTGCTTGAGAACCACGACCGAATGCCATCCTTGGCCAACATAGCCCTAACAACCCTGAAGTGTGTTCTCTTGTACTCACAGGTTACCCCGTGCAGTACTGGCTACAGCACAGCGTGCTCCACGTGCGTTTGCTGCTGAGGAGGGCTGCTTTGTCTGACGATGTCTTGGTCACTCCTTGAGCCTCACGCTGCAGTTCGAAGCTCTGCAGCAGCTCTCTGTCCCTCCAGTGTTAAAAGGCAGAAAGGAAAGAGTCCTTTTGCAGGACTTCAGAGAGCATAAAGGGCCGTAAAACACAAGGAGTTGTGCAAGTATGAAACGTTACTGCTGGCCCAGTGCCCGGAGCAGAGAAACACGCTCAGTGTCACCATCAGCTTGACTTCAGAGATCATGATGGCTAGATATCTGTTGAGCTACGTGCACTATGGATGGTTATATTAGGCAGTGAAAGAATAATTAAAAATAGATCTATCATGTCATCCAAATGATCTCTTGGCTGATGAAGTCTTTGGTATCTTATGCATGCCTTTTCTAGTCTCATTATAAATATCTACTTAATCAAGCTCCTGCAACTCCCCTGGAGCATCTGTCTGCTCTGGTACCTCTCAGGACTAGCAATATTTTTAGAGGCAAGTGTTGACTTCTCCATGCTCAGTGACATCTCCTTACTTCTATTTTTACCTCCTTGGGACATACTAGCTAATTCCAGTTCTGAGGAACCTACTCCACTGGATTTAAAGGCAGTTATTGTGTTTGCCCTTAATTAAACAAACACTTGCCTTGCAATCAACCCAGAATCTACTGATTAAAATGTATCATTATCAAAATGCTTCGCTTTCAAGAGCTGCAGTGTTGCACACAGAATGGGCAGACTACCAAACCTTTTGTGGTACAAAAGACAGAAATGGATGATCTATGTTCTGGCAGTCACTGTAATTTTCTGACACCAGATGGAGCACATCCCAGATGATCAGAGTGGAATCCGTTCATCTAGCCATGTCATTTATCACGTGAAATTGCTCTTCAGTAACAACCGTTTCTGTGACTCCAGCACTGCGAGAAGAGTAAGTCTGCCTGAGAGCGCACCTTGCAGGATCTGCTCTGCCAGTGCACAGCGTTTATCAGCTTACGCAAAAAATCTGAACCGCATTATACTGCAAGGAAACCCTCTGGTTTGCACTGGTTGCTTGACCTGTAAGATTTTCCTGGTTGGTATTTGCAAAAAAAGTATCGGGGTGGGAGGAGGAGAGGAGAATTTCTTACCTTGAACTGAACGTGCCAACCTAGTTCTCACTACTTCCAGTCTTAGGCATCCCAAAATAATGAGACGAGCCTAAAAACTGTTAAGACTCTTCATAAATAAATGCTGAGATAATGCATTGGCTTGCTGGTGTTTGAACTTCAGCATACGTTCCTGCCATGCTCCACAGAGTGGCTGAGGTGGGCAGGGACCCCCGGAGATCATCTAGTCCCACTCCCCGTGCAAAGCAGGGCCAGCTGGCACAGGCTGCCCGGCCCGTTTCTGGCTGGAGTTCGGATACCTCCGAGGACAGAGACTCCACAACCTCTCTGGGCAGCCTGTTCCAGCGTTTGATCACCCTCGCTGCAAAAAAACCCGCAGATCTTAGTCCACCGCCGTGAAAGCTAGAATCCTCCCCTCCGGTCCTTGATTCCCAAGACAATGCAGGTTTCCCGGTACTGGGATTTGAAGGGGGAAAAAAACTATGTACTTAGCTCCTTATTTTCTGTGTGTCACATACCTGATGCCGATCCAGAGCGATGGCAGCAAGGGTCAGCACAGACACGTGCACGGAGCAGTACTGAACAAACCGGCTGATGTGACACATCAGCTTTCCAAAAACCCAGGTACTGCTTACAAACCGCACCTGAAGAACAGAGAAAATTGGATTAAAACAGTGTCCATTATCTGAAGAGTAGCACATGGGCTTCCCCACAGCATGGTAAGGAAGAAACACTTTAATATCATTTCCTTATGTTTTGTAGGTGCATTATACTCAGTTTTCTGTGGAAACAGTGACTATGCAAGAGGCTCTGAAAGAGAGGTGAGATTTGTTATACCGAGGAAACAAATCCTCCTGAGTAGTGCTCTGTGTATGTATATGCGTGTTTGTGCGTGCATGTACGCATGTAACGTGGCCCTGCTGGAACATGGAAGGAAATCTTAGCTCAGCTCCTTGGTGAGGCTCCGCAGGGAAAATCAGTAGCTTGCCTCCTTAAAAACGGTTGCACGTTTGAATTCGTGGATGCTGAAATTTGCATGGGTTCAAAACTTAGTGAGATAATGTCACGGAAGAAAACATCACTGAGGGCACTGAAGTAGCAAGATAACAGCTCTGGGTTAGGGGCTGCCATCTGCGGAGCATCCCTGCCTACCTGCCCTGCGTCTGTACCCTTCCTGGGGTCTGCAGCTACCGGCCACGCTCACGGGCAGGATGTGGAGCTGGGTGGCAGGGTCTTGCTCGCACGCTGATCTCTAAGCCCGACTCTCCTCTTGTCACATCGCGTGAGATGCATCAACAGGAATTTCAGAGGTGTCAGTCAGGGTACGCAGAGTGGAAAACGCTACCCTGCACGTGAAAAAGCAACTCGCGCTTCACAGGCTGGGTTGCCTTCCTCCCTGATCCGACCTCTGCGGGTACAGGAGCCCTCTCCGCGGGCGCGTGAAATCCAGCCTCCGGGGAGGGGGGTGAAGCCTCCCTGAGACCGC